ATCTTCCTTCGAAAATTATTCTCTCCGTGTATATTCTATTGAACGTATTTTTTTCTCACCTCATATTTATTTACTCCACAGATCGATTAGATCAATATGTTTGATTTTTTTTAACATAGAACTCCACACATCTTTTGTTGGAGCAACTATTGGACTTCAACTGCTACTTGTATTTTTAATTCTAATTGCTTCTTCTATTAGTTTGCTATAACACTTAATTATTGTTTATATAGTTATGCCATGTATCTAGCATGATTCCAATAATATGTAAATATAACTACAACATGGTTGTAACATGATTGTAGTGTAATTGTAAAATGGAAAGATAAGAGCTATTCTATTATCAAATATAATTATAAATTAAGTGAGTACTAGATACAAAATATAAATAATTATTAAGATTTAGTATGATATTAATATAAGTAGTTATCAAATAACCATTGGAGTAAAATATGAATTTAGAATAAATAAATAAAATAAGATAATACTGCCACATCATCTTTACTTTTCTTGTTTGACAATAACTTGTTCTTGCAAACAAATATAGTATTTCACTTTCATGATGACGTGGATTCACTTCTACACTCGTAAAGAAAAAGCGACTTTCGTAATTTCAAGTCATTTTCAATTTGCCAAACACCCCCTAAAGCTGATGAAATTTACAATCCTTACATTTTATGTAAATAATATGCACAAAACTTAAAATTCTTTTAAATAATGAATAGTTTCAACACCGTCAACAAATTTAAAAGGCTGCTTTGATTTACAGACTTACAGAATCCTCACATTTTATACAATGATTTTTTAATAAATCATTATCCTTTGAAATAATGAATTATTTTCAAAAGAAATAAGGGCACCAACTATGCACACCTATTATCGAGCAATTGGATGATGGAGGATGAGTGTCCCTTTTAATGCACATTCCATATAAACTGCAAGCCTCCAAGTATTCATTCTTCCATCCCTCCCTAAGCTCAGCAGAGTCCTTGTACAATTGTCTAAGAAGTGATATGAAATGAGAGAGGTATTAGAATTTTTCATAATAACAGGTATATCATGCATATCACTATAACGGGTTCACCTACAAAACTTAAAGGTCTAAACGTAGAGATTTATGAATGAACAATTTAAATTTAAGGTTGCAACGTATACCTTCATTGAATAAGATGATCAATCTGTGAAACTTATTCACTCTAATCTCCAATCAACGATTTCCATAGTTTGTCTTTCACTAGTCAGGCTCTTGGTTTTGGTTATGCTAAAATGATGGTTTTTCTAAAAATGATGAATTGGGAGGCAAAGGAAAAGGAGAATGTTTAACTATGAAGAATTTTCTTTTGTTAGGTTGGTTGGTTGGTTAATAACTCTAAACAACATGAGGATATATACAGGACTTTTTGCCCAAAATTGCACATCACAAAACCCTAGATTGTCCAATCTATGCTTCTGGGTTGAACCCATTACCCATTAGCCTGGGAGTTGCCTGCCTGTATCCGACGGGCTTGGTAACAACTGGAAATCTGCATAATGTATCTCATATGTTTCAACAAGAAAGGGGTTAGATTGGATATTTTGGAAGGCTTCTACTTAGGAAAGAAATCCTAAAGTAAATATTGCCAGTTATCAGTCGCCTACGTATGTATTACTTTGTTTGAAAGCTTAGGATGCAAAAAAACTTTTGCTGTCAACCCACGTCAGACACCCTATTGAACATGCATCTAGCATTTTCATTCTTGTTTCCTATGCACTTTTCAAAGAAAACTTTTTTAGGTGTATCATATTATGCCCACTTCATTGGGTACCTATGCCAATGCTAGAAATTACGGGGCTTTTTCTTGCAATCTGCAAAGACCTTGTTTGTTATAGAGGAACCATGCCCCCCGTGAAAGAAAAAAGGGTGCAAATATTTGCTAGTTCAATGGAAACAACAAGAGTATAGTAAAAAATATTTCGCATATGTCAACCGAGCTTGCTATAATAAAGATATAAAAATCCACAGAATTGGATTATGGGTCATATTTTGACAAATATGGGTATCTATATCGTCCTATAAAAATATGGATATGGACGTGGATAGTATTAAACTGTCCATTGCATATGAGGTCTGAAGAACAGACATCAAAATATTTGAATATACATACAAGGTCATGTATGAACAAAGTCTGTACTTCTGTGTTAGAAAGGATTAAAGTTTATTTGATATTAACAAAAAAAACATAAAGATCTTTTCCCTGACATATGCATTCCTTTTCAAAGTTGAAAAAATTTAGTCTTTTAAACTTCCACATACCTAAGCCTTCATTATCAATATTTTGCTTCACTTCTCTTACAACATTTCACTAAGGTCTTTAGAATCCCAATCGAATTCGGGAGAAAAAAATGTTGTGATAGGCTCAAGATTTGAGCGGTCATGGCTTCGGAGATGAAAGCGACAACAGCAACGGCAAGCAGCAAAGCAGTAGGAACAGCTGTAAAGTGGAGCAACAGGAGCAGCGACGGTAGCAGCATATATAACGACAGCATGCTGTGCCCACGCTGTACCGCGTGTTGTACCGCATGCTGTCAGGGACAAACGCATGGGTACAGTCAGGTGCTTTATTCCCTGGAGTTTTCGCGCAGTGATGACAGCATGAGATACCACACACTATCGCGGATTTAATGCAGTTAGAATTCTACAATGACTGGGTCTCTGTGATTTATTGGGTATCACGACTTCTATCCTATATAAAGCGGTATTTCCTCGGATGTAGGGTTAGAGGAGAGTTGATGAAAGGTGAGTTGATGAAAGGTGGCCATAAGGAAGAGATCAAAGGCCAAGCCGTCAAGATCAAGAAGATGAAGAAGAAGAATAAGAAAATGGAGATTACTCTTGCAAGGATTTATAAGAGACTAATTATATTCTTGTGAGGTTCTACAAGAAGTCGCATGAACTACTCTTCTAAGAGATAAATGAGAGGAAAGTGTTATTATATATTCTCATCAAAATAATAATGATAACTCCCCTCCTCCTCCGATGGATGGAGGCATCTTGCCAAACCAGGTAAATCTTCTCGTATTTTTTAAGTGATTGTTGTTTGTTTTGATTATTTCGCCATAAGGTTAAAGTCATTCCGCGAAACCTTAAAAGTTAAAAAGTCTTTGTTCGGGATCTAAAGTCGACTACATTCCTTTTAAAAAAAATTTTAAAATATATTTTCACGCTAGAAAATTAGAGGATTTTGAACATGAACAATGTTCATGGGTCTCAAATTTCCACCAAATTCCTTCATTTTCCTCAGAAACAAGCAGTCCTAATAAAAAACCCAATTGCCTTTGGTGACAGAGCAATTATTCCAAATGGGTATATCTCTAAAATCAATCACACCCTACGAACAAAACCACCCGAGAAAATTATGCCAAACTCATTCAAAATTAGCACCCGGGTATTGAGCGTTGTAAGCGTCAAGATTAGAATACATCAAAATCATTGAGAATAAAGGAAACTTATAGTGGAAATTGGAAGGGTTTATGCGATTGGGGTCGGGATTTTACTTGCAGACGAGAGAGCAGTTGATGAGATCGACGCAGTCGAGCTGAGAGAAGACGCGGGCGATGATATGGGCTGGCGCCCTGAGGGCTGGTGGAGGGGCAATCTCGTAATTTCTACCTCCTCCTCCTTCCTCTTGTTCAACTCTAGTTTCTCCTCTTGTGAAATTCTTCATCTTTCTTGTAGTTTTGGCCTTTAGTTCGTGTACTTTGAATTCATACAAATTTTCACCGTAGACCCAAACGGAATTTTAATTACCAAAATCGACCGATTTTTTTTAATTATCAAAATCGACCCGTTTTATGCCATGTAGGCTTAATCCAGTTTCCTAATTAGTCGGGGTTGCCAACCCCGACTGTTTAGGAGTTGTTAAACCCCGATTAGAAGCCTTAAAACCCGGTTTAACAACTCCTAAACAGTCGGGGTTGGCAACCCCGACTAATTAGGAAACTGGATTACGCCTACGTGGCATAAAACGGGTCGATTTTGGTAATTAAAAAAAATCAGTCGATTTTGGTAATAAAAAATTGGTTTGGGTCTACAGTGAAAATTTGTTCTTGGGTTAATTGCAAACAGTCTCTCTCTGTGGTATCATCCAATTACAAATGGTCTTACTCAGTTACTGTACTTCCGTTCATTGCAATAGACGTTGTGTAATTCTATTTGTTGCAAATAGACCCCCCATAGCCTTGGCCCTAGTTCTAATGCACTCTTTTAGTAACTTTTTCGACTCTTTTAAAAGTGGAATAAAATAGCAATTAGATGTCTATCATCACCAACAGAATAATTAGGAGAAGGGGGAGGGGGGATTGTTCGCCTCCTCGATCATTAGTAAGAAAAATTCAGTCAGGGCATAAATTCGCAACTAATAGCACTATAATGAAGTCTATTCATAAATAGATGATTTGAAAGGGCGTTTGTTGTAATTATTCCTTGATAAAATGAAAACAGGAGATACTTGTCTCCTACATTTGGGTAAATTTCATCAAATCCCCCTAAAAATTGAAGCATTCTATGTAAAGCCTCTCAACATTATTTTAAGAATTAATTTCATAAAACCCCCTTATAGAGCATCTCCAACAAGCTCCTAGTTGGGAGTCATTATTGGAGAGTTCTCAAGACCTCGAAGACATGGCCCACCATTTTTAATGTCACATCACATATGACCTTCTAACTAATGTTGATCTCCAACAAACTCCTATTAAGGAGCTCCAACAATATAAAAAAAACTCTCTTCTATTTTAGTTCTATTACACATTACTTTCAATCATATTTAAACCTCTTTTATTTAATTCCACCGACTGTGGAGAAGAATTGGAAAAAGCAGATTTTTGGTCATAAGTCGACTCATGCACAGGCATAAGTCGACTTATGGTAAGTCGACTTATGTTGGTGCATGAGTCGACTTACGTTCTGTTCTGGATTGTTGGTTTTCGCTCTGCCAAGTCGACTTATCAGGTCTGATAAGTCGACTTATGATCTCTTCTCCAGTTGTTGTTTTTCGCTCTGCCAAGTCGACTTATGCAGACTGTTAAGTCGACTTATGACGGGTTTTTTGGAAAGTTAGAGTTCCTATTTGCAGTCTGTTTGGGTTTCTGTTTTGGTATAAATACCAATACGATTTGAGGGTTTTGTAAGAGCAAATCTGGGGATTTTGGAGCACAGAAAAGAGAGATCTTTCTGAGCTATTTGTTAGGGTTATTGGTTGAGAGTTTGAGAGATTTGTTGGTGAGATTAGTTGGTTCGTTTGAGCGATTTGTAATCTCAATTTGTACTCTCCTTCTCTATTAGTGAAAACCCACCCCCCTTCTTGCCCCGTGGACGTAGGCAATTGCCGAACCACGTAAAACTTTGGTGTTTGTGTTTTGTTTGGTCTTTCTCTCGGCGTTTGTTGGTTTGGTTTCTCAAAGCATCATAGTTGGTTGTTTGTTTGCAAACATAACGCAAAGAATTGTGAGCTGCAGCTACGTACCGTGTAAAGCTGCCAGGGCAGAGGCATCTCCAAAGTGTCATGCCCTCTTTAAACATTTCAAATGTCTTTTTGTTTGAGTAACCTAAAACATTTTATGGCATAAAATTTCAGGAGATGGTCGATGCTTTATATACAACTAGAAATTTTGCTTCTGCAATTTATCTCTGTCATGCAACTGAGCAATGTTGTGAAGAAAATTACCGAGATCGATCATTCAGCGAGTCAATAAGATCACCTACCGTATGGCTCATCTGTACAAGTCACTGAACCAGATACAATCATGCATCACTCAATAATTATCTCTCAACCTACAGAATGTATATACATTTCACTAATAACCTCCCAGTCACTCGTCATTTTCAACAAAAAATATCCTACTTCGTAGACATATTCATCAAAATTTAGTAATTCTTTCCTAATTTGGATCATGGCTCTTCCGTGTTTTTGTTGATCGTGGAGAAGATGCGGGCGTATGCTATGCATAGCGAGTTTTTTTACGTATAGCTTCTCTCATTGTGACCGAGGTTTGGATCAGAAGCACTATATATTCTCTTTTATTTGCTTATCAAGTTTTATTAATCACTGCTATATATGTCACTTAAATCTCCTTATATTCATGTTTTTCTAAGGTCATGCTAAATATAAGCATCAAAATCGCCTAGATAATTATGATAAGTCAAGTCACAGAAACAGCCAAACCGAATATAATTTGTATTGCAAAGTTGGACTAAAAAAAAACTGAGTTCTCTGCGTGTTGAGTAAAATTACATAGGATCTAGCCTAAATTTTTTTGAAGATTGACGTCTTCTATGCCTTTTGATATCCTGGAGATTTAAGTGAAGTTAGGATTAATTAGGACGGACGGATAAAAAAGGAGAAGGAAACAAGAGAACAATAAAAAGAAAAGAAGAAGAAGAAGAGAGACTGTATGCATGTGATAGTGAAATCAGATCTAGAGGGGTTTGCCGATGAACTTCGAATATTGAAGTCTGGAAAGGATATATGATTTCAATGAGAAGATTAGTATAGTTTTCTGAAATTTTCTTTTCATCCCCCATATTAATTGAACTCAGATGCTCCTCTACTGATAAATCTTCTGTTGAGAATTCATGGTATTTGATTCACCAATACCCGTTGAAGAGGCGACAGCATTCGCGTCCCAGCTTTACCGTCATTCTAATTTCGGGAAATTTTAAAGTAAAATTTAGTGAATAAATTGTGTATTTATCAGGATTTAAAGTAAAAATTTGACTGAAGAATAAATAGCAGATGAAGATGAAAGAAAAAAAAAAATTTTTTTTGTCAAGAATGGGATTCGAACCCATGCCCTTTCGGACCAGTACCTGAAACTGGCGCCTTAGACCAACTCGGCCATCTTGACGGTTTTCTTGACGATGCGCTCACTTTTATATAATTGATATCTTTCCTTATCTTGATTAACAAGGTCCCTGTTTAGGAAATTCTTCCCTTAAGTTAAACTTTTGGCTCCTTTTAAATAAATGGGGGGTGGTTGGTGCCCTTAGCTAGTATAGAGCATTTCTTCAACCGTAGGTATTTATATTTGTGTGAACGGTTTTAATAAAAGGTATTATTTTATATTGAGTAAACAGTAGAAGGATAATTCTATTTTCAAACTACCCTACACTGCTGTGCATAAAGGTATTAGGTTGCCGTAAAAGCTGATGAGTTATCGGTGACCTCCTAATCTTTGAGAATAGTATTTTGGGGGTTTAATTGGATCACTAGTCACTGTATCTATCTCATAATTGAACATTCATACCTATATTTTAATTGCCTAAATGGCTGGTCATAAAATTAAATACCAGTTGGATCACTAGTCACTACTAAAGTTTGTCATCAATTTGAGTTATATATTTTTGTTTATGTCTAAGCAATATAGCTAAATGTGTCATGATTTTATATTTCAAGTACAAAATGCCAAATACAATATAATTACCTCATACAACTTGCTTGATATATCAGAAATTTTATTTTTATAAGTGATTAAGATGTTACATATAGGAATAAATCCATTATATTAAAGGATCAAAACTTTTTATGCCACGTCAGAAATACGTTATGTTAATTCGTAGAAAACAGTAGAAGTGATTAGTGATTTAACTAGTATTTAATTACACGATCAGTCATCCAAGCAATTAAAACATAGGTATGAACGTCTACTTATAAGATAAAAATATAATAATCATTGATCCAGGTAACACGTATTTTGGGAGTAGTTTGAAAATTATAGTCTAGTTATCACTACTCATGGTAGAAATAATGTAATTAAGAAGGATGTGCTGGTTTTATATTTTTGGAATATAAGTCTTACGATTAAAATAACAATAAATTGAATATTATTATGGTTTAGGATTTAAGTTCTGATCGAGAAACTAAAATTTAAAGAATAATCCAAATTCTTAGATATTTTTTGGTGCTATGAGGTTGCCCTATCTGTTGTTTAAACAGATGTTAAAGTTTGTTGTTTTGTTCCTTGTTGTAATTTTTAATAAGGTTTTTTTTATACGAAAACCATAAAAAATATAGTCTTTTTTTAGAACTACTATAAATTTTTTTAATTTTCATAGAACCACCATGGAAATTGTGGAGAAATTTGGAAAATTCAGGTTTTTGCAGATTCTGTGTCATAAGTCGACTCATGCACAGGCATAAGTCGACTTATGGTAAGTCGACTTATGTTGGTGCATGAGTCGACTTACGTTCTGTTCTGGATTGTTGGTTTTCGCTCTGCCAAGTCGACTTATCAGGTCTGATAAGTCGACTTACGATCTGTTCTCCAGTTGTTGTTTTTCGCTCTGCCAAGTCGACTTATGCAGACTGTTAAGTCGACTTATGACGGGTTTTTTGGAAAGTTAGAGTTCCTATTTGCAGTCTGTTTGGGTTTCTGTTTTGGTATAAATACCAATACGATTTGAGGGTTTTGTAGGAGCAAATCTGGGGATTTTGGAGCACAGAAAAGAGAGATCTTTCTGAGCTATTTGTTAGGGTTATTGGTTGAGAGTTTGAGAGATTTGTTGGTGAGATTAGTTGGTTCGTTTGAGCGATTTGTAATCTCAATTTGTACTCTCCTTCTCTATTAGTGAAAACCCACCCCCCTTCTTGCCCCGTGGACGTAGGCAATTGCCGAACCACGTAAAACTTTGGTGTTTGTGTTTTGTTTGGTCTTTCTCTCGGCGTTTGTTGGTTTGGTTTC